AAAAAAAAAACGCAAAAATATAAGATAACATATTCCAATTTCCCTCTTTCCGGGCTTTATAGCTACAGTTTATTTTTGAAATCCCGATGTGACGTTGCCAATTTTTTTGGAAATGAAAGTTTTCGCAAAAAATTAAAAAATAAAAATTAAATCTCTGTTACAATATTTTGAGGAGGCTAAATATAAGTACCCGCTTTCTTGTGATATCAATTAAATCAAATTTTAATATACAGAGTGTTTATAAAAAAAATCTAAAACTTCACAGTTTTTAAATTTCAAATGGAATTCTGAAAAAAGAAACAAAATGTAAGATAATATATTCCAATTAGTCTCTTCCTAGGCTTTATAACTACAATTTATTTTTGAAATTCCGATGTGACGTTGCCACATTGTTCAATGTTTTTTGGAAACGAAAGTTTTCACAAAAAATAAAAAAATAAAAATTAAATTTATGTTGCAATATTTTGAGATAGATAAATATAAGTACCCGCTCTCTTGTAAAATCAATTAAATCAACTTTTAATATACAGAGTGTTTATAAAAAATTCTAAAAGTTCACAGTTTTTAAATTTCAAATGGAATTCAGAAAAAAAAACAAAATGTAAGATAATATATTCCAATTAGTCTCTTCCTAGGCTTTATAACTACAATTTATTTTTGAAATTCCGATATGACATTGCCACATTGTTCCAATTTTTTTGGAAATGAAAGCTTTCAGAAAAAATTCAAAAAATGAAAATTAAATCTATGTTGCAATATTTTGAGGAAAATAAATATAGGTACGCGCTTTCTCGTGGTATCAATTAAATCAAATTTTAATATACAGAGTGTTTATAAAAAATTCTAAAACTTTACAGTTTTTGAATTTCAAATGAAATTCAGAAAAAAAAGCAAAATATAAGATACTATATTCCAATTAGCCTCTTATCCGGCTTAATAGCTACAATTTATTTTTAAAATTCCGATGTAACGTTGCCAGATTGTTCCAATTTTTTGGAAATGAAAGCTTTCAGAAAAAATAAAAACGTAAAAATTAAATCTATGTTACAATATTTTGAGGAAGATAAATATAGGTACGCGCTTTCTTGTGAAATCAATTAAATCAAATTTTAATACACAGAGTGTTAATAAAAAATTTTAGAACTTCACAGTTTTTAGTTTCAAATGGAATTCAGAAAAAAAAACAAAATATAAGATAACATATTCCAATTTGCCTCTTCCCGGGCTTTATAACTACAGTTAATTTTTGAAATTCCGATGTGACGTTGCCACATTGATCCAATTTTTTTGGAAATGAAAATGTTCAGAAGAAATAAAAACGTAAAAATTAAATCTATTTTACAATATTTTGAGAAAGATAAATATAAGTACTCGCTTTCTTGTGATATCAATTAAATCAAATTTTAATATACAGAGTGTTTATAAAAATTTCTAAAACTTCACAGTTTTTAAATTTCAAATGGAATTAAAAAAAAACCAAAATATAAGATAATATATTCCAATTAGTCACTTCCTAGGCTTTATAACTACAATTTATTTTTGAAATTCCGACGTGACGTTGCCACATTGTTCCAATTTTTTTGAAAATGAAAGTTTTCACAAAAAATAAAAAAATAAAAATTAAATCTATGTTACAATATTTTGAGGAAGATAAATATAGGTACGCACTTTCTTGTGGTATCAATTAAATTAAATTTTAATATACATAGTGTTTATTAAAAAATTCTAAAACTTCACAGTGTTTAAATTTCAAATGGAATTAAAAAAACAAAGAAAATATAAAATAATATATTCCAATTAGCCTCTTCCCGGTCTTTATAACTACAGTTTATTTTTGAAATTCCGATGTGACGTTGCCATATTGTTCCAAGATTTTTGGAAATGAAAGTTTTCGCAAAAAAAAATAAAAATTAAATCTATGTTACAATATCTTGAGGAACATAAATATAGGTACGCGCTTTCTTGTGGTATCAATTAAATCAAATTTTAATATACAGAGTGTTTATAACAAATTCTAAAACTTCACAGTTTTTAAATTTCAAATGGAATTCAGAAAAAAAAACAAAATATAAGATAATATATTCCAATTAGCCTCTTCCTAAGCTTTATAACTACAGTTTATTTTTGAAATTCCGATGTGACGTTGCCACATTGTTCCAATTTTTTGGGAAACGAAAGTTTTCGCAAAAAATAAAAAAAAATTAAATCTATGTTACAATATTTTGAGAAAGATGAATATAAGTACCCGCTTTCTTGTGATATCAATTAAATCAAATTTTAATATACAGAGTGTTTATAAAAAATTCTAAACCTTCACAGTTTTTAAATTTCAAATGGAATTCAGAAAAAAAAACAAAATATAAGATAATATATTCCAATTAGTCTCTTCCCGGGCTTTATATAATTACAATTTATTTTTGAAATTCCGATGTGACGTTGCCGCATTGTTCCAATTTTTTTGGAAATGAAAGCTTCCAGAAAAAGTAAAAAAATAAAAATTAAATCTGTGTTACAATATTTTGAGGAAGATACGCGTTTTCTTGTGGTATCAATTAAATCAAATTTTAATATACAGAGTGTTTATAAAAATTCTAAAACTAGACAGTTTTTAAATTTCAAATGGAATTCAGAAAAAGAAACAAAATATGAGATAATATATTCGAATTAGCCTCTTCCCGGGCTTTATAACTACAGTTTATTTTTGAAATTCCGATGTGACGTTGCCACATTGTTCCAATTTTTTCGGAAATGAAAGCTTTCAGAAAAAATACAAAAATAAAAATTAAATCTGTTACAATATTTTGAGGAAGATAAATATAGGTACGCACTTTCTTGTGGTATCAATTAAATTAAATTTTAATATACACAGTGTTTATTAAAAAATTCTAAAACTTCACAATGTTTAAATTTCAAATGGAATTAAAAAAACAAAGAAAATATAAAATAATATATTCCAATTAGCCTCTTCCCGGTCTTTATAACTACAGTTTATTTTTGAAATTCCGATGTGACGTTGCCACATTGTTCCAATTTTTTTGGAAATGAAAGTTTTCCCAAAAAATAAAAAAACAAAAATTAAACCTATATTACAATCTTTTGAGGAAGATAAATATAGGTACGCACTTTCTTGTGGTATCAATTATATCAAATTTTAATATACAGAGTGTTAATAAAAAATTCTTAAACTTCACAGTTTTTAACTTTGTATTTTATTACTGTATCCTAATATATTTTTTGTTGTCATTCCTCTAATATATTGAAATACATATCTCTTAAAAAAGTAAATGTAGAATATACTTAACAAAAAAGAAACAGAACAAAAAATAGAATAAGACGTAGTAATAAAATATAGTGTTCTATATGAAAAATTTGAAAATTTCATTTCATTTGTATCACAACAAAGCGCCTCCCTTTATTTACCTGTCCACAAAATATTGTAACAGATTTTAAAAATAACTTTAGGTGCGGTTTTTTGGACATTTTATTAAAAAAAAAAACAAACACAATATTTCCAACAAATAATGAAGTCATAAGTTAAAATTAAGACCTACGAAAAATCATTTTTGTAAAAAAAAAATAAGCGAATATAGTAAATTGCTTAAAATAAACATAGCTCTGTTCATGTTCCAAAAATAACAAATAAAATCTTGCAAAAACGCAACTTTTCTTGGTTTAATTTTCGCGTGTTCTTTTCCTTTTTTAGAAGAATTTTTGAAAATTTAAGCATCCATAACTAAATTTTGTCTAATTCGTCTATTTTCAAAAATTTTAAAGTCATTGTAAAAGTACTTAGTTGTGGGATCGTAAAAAAAATTAAGTTTAGTTCCACTGAAAACTGGTGGACTCCTGAAGATCTAACAGTGAGACAGACCTGCATTTTGACGTTTTAAAAAATTTCCGACACTTAATTTCCGGAAATACTTTTTTTGAGTTGTTCTTAAGGAAGCTTATCTGTAGAACTCTCTTTCAATGATCTTAATCATACTTTTTCCCTGTACGCTGTGATTTTCTCCTTATAGCTTTTCCAAGAACCGCAATTCTCGTCCTAAAAACCCGTTAAAAAATTTTTAAGTTGACTGTACCAATTGCTTGAAGAGTGGGCCGTTACAGTCACATTATGTAGTAGGATTTTTTGTTTGTAGAGCATCCCATACTATAGAATGGTTGCGTGTCCCGCATGGATGACAGTGTCGGTACATGTGACCCCTACGCCATCATCAATTGAGCGAGTTAAAGTAAATTAAATCTAATGGATCCTTAATTGAGCACAATTGAGGAGATGATACAGCCTCGCAACAAGTGTCTGCAACGCAAGATTCCATCGGCGATTACGAAAATATCACCGCACACACTTTTCGTTAATCATTTGCACTAAATTTAATTTGAACTAAACAATCAAGCGGTCGATCCAGAAGACACCAAGGAGCGACCACCGCTGCCTCACTCACGCTTTGGTCTTCCGGGTTCCGGGCGGGCGAAGATTCGTCCGATTTTCGGTGGTGGTTTCGCACTTTTAAAGCATTTGTCAAATTTAATTGATGTTGATAACTGCACCAGAAGCACACTGCCAAGGTTATATCAATCACGATATCCGAAAGATCACAAGTTTGTTTAAGCCGAGGCACGAAGTGATTGCGCACTTTTCGCAGAACGGTCGCTCGACGAGGAAAAGTCGGCTCACCCTGCTGACACAACCCTCCCCAATAAAAGTCTCCATTTGACTGGTGAACATTTACTGTGTGAAATGTTTTAATAGCAACAATTGGACAATATTGAGTTGGATTGCATTAAGGAATCTGGGCTGTTAAACTAATATACTAATAGCTGCACTAATAGCTATTGTCGCTAATAGGCAAAAATTGGGTAAATTGATAAATTCACTTACTGGTGATTGAGGCAACTGCGTGCGCTTAACGCTTTAGCCTCGTTAGCCTCATCACTTCAAGCTCCTATCCTAATTGACGATTAAATTTGTTAATTCTTCATTCGGCCAGCGGCTCCGGAGGCGATCGGTCGCTCCAACCCTCCCTTACCAGAAGTGAAAATCCGGGATGGCATCGATCCCGCAGAACCCTCGCGCCCTCACGTGACCATCCGCTCCTGTCTTCCGCATCGCCCAGCTTCCCGCATTGGTCCCAGGCCCCTCCTTTCCGACCAATGGCGGCGCGCCGAACCCCTGCGCGATCCTCTTGGATTGGCCGCCAAAAACGTCCTTAATTCAGCTCGTTAAATATAAATTGGATAAAGTAATAATGTCAGAAGTCAGTATAGCTGTAACAGTGCCTCTAAATTGTGTAGACAATTTGTCTCATTAACGGCGTCCGAGCTGATTGCCAATCAAACGAATTGAGGAGATTAGATTGTTTTGATTTTCGCTCGTTAATTGTGAAAATGGAAGGTGCCCCTTTCGACGACCAGGCCTTCAGCGACTACTCGAACCAGCCGCTCCCGAGCCTGAATTCCACGCTGCTCCAGACCAAGAACCAGGATAACCTGAACGTGCACTCGATACAGGTCATGCTGGGGCTGCAGCAGCAGCACGACATGTTCTCGAACATGGGCTCGCCGATGGAGTACAAGGGCTCGCCGCAGAAGATGGACAACTCGCCGATGCACCAGGACCTGGGGATGTTCCAGCAGGGGATGGAGAGCGTGAACAGCAGCGCGAACGGAGTCAAGAGGAAGAACGAGGAGGTGCTGCTGCAGTCGCAGAGTCTGAGCTCGACGGAGATCGGCAACACGGGCACGACGCAGAAGAAGAACGAGAAGAAGAAGAACGACAACAACGGGGTTAAGAAGAAAAAGACAAGGTGAGTTTCAATTTCGACCAAAAAGAATCAAAATTGATTTATTTTGGGTTCAGTTTTCAAAATCAAACACCACAAGCGGACATTTTCAAATAAAATTTCTGATGGTTCCGCTCTGGAATGATTTATTGATATGCGATTAATTTAATATCTGTGGTGCAATGTCACTAAAAAATGTCAATAATTTAGCAAAAAACCCTAGAAGTCGCTTGTCAAAATGCCATTTTGGATTATCATGAGAATTTAATTTTTTTTTATTTCTTTAAGGGCGCTTTTTTACACAATGAAATTTTGTCTACTTTTTGTCATTTTACAGCACATGGAATACGAAAATACAAGTTTCCCATGTCCGTCTGTATGTTGTAAATATAATTTCTAAACTTTTAATTGATTCAGTTCAAATTTAGGTTGTATGATGTAATAGCACTTGAAATATCCCAGTACACATGGTTATTATTATTATTGGGAAACAAATACAAAATACAAATTCGGATAATTTACTTTTTCAAAAAATCAAAAGTTGTACGGTTCTCTAAGGACGACACTCTAAAATTATTTTTAAGCGTATAGTTTTTTAATTTGAAACACCCTATATATTTTTACATATTTTGATTGACCTCTTTTTAGACTTTACAACCACAATTTACTGTTGAATTTCCGATGCAACGCTGCCACGTTATTCTAGTTTTCTGGCAATGGAAGGGTTCACAAAAAAATCGCAACAGGGTTATTTTTAAAGTCTGCCTTACAACATTTTATTGAGAAATAAATAAAAGTGTACGTTTTGTTGCAGTATCAACTAAATCAAATTTTCATATACCGGGTGTCGGGGAAAAGTAGTACAAAAATTCCTTCTTACATTTTCGTGGAATTATAAACAACACATTTATTATCACAATAACTAGTGATAAAAATCGATCTTATTTTAGCAGGTACTAGCCCCGCCCACCCGCCCTCTCTTTTCTTGTAGGGTATCTCATTTGCCAAAATCACTCTTATCTTAGCAGGTAGCAGCCCCGCCCACCCACCCTTTCTTGTCTTGGAAGGTATGTCATTTGCCAAAATCAATCTTATCTTAGCAGGAACTAGCCCCGCCTTCTCTTTTCTTAGAGAGTATGTCATTTGCCAAAATCAGCCTTATCTTAGCATGTACTAGCCCCGCTCACCCACCCTTTATTTTCTTAAAAGACCAGGTCATCTGCCAAAATCAGTCTTATCTTGGCAACAACTGATGACCAACTTTTAGAAAAAATGATCAAAATTTTGAAACATTACGAATACAAGGCTGGAATTTTGAACATCTTCTCTAGTGTTTAGTTGGTTAAGCTTTAATGGATTTTTCTGTTGTTGGTTTTCTTTTTGTTTATGTCATTTGCCAAAATCAGCCTTATCTTAGCATGTACTAGCCCCGCCCACCCACCCTTTATTTTTTTAAAAGACCAGGTCATCTGCCAAAATCAGTCTTATCTTGGCAAGTACTGATGACCAACTTTTAGAAAAAATGATCAAAATTTTGAAACATTACAAACAGAAGGCTGGAATTTTGAACATCTTCTCTAGTGTTTAGTTGGTTAAGTTTTAATGGATTTTTCTGTTGTTGGTTTTCTTTTGTTTATGTCATTTGCCAAAATCAGCCTTATCTTAGCATGTACTGGCCCCGCCCACCCACCCTTTATTTTTTTAAAAGACCAGGTCATCTGCCAAAATCAGTCTTATCTTGGCAAGTACTGATGACCAACTTTTAGAAAAAGTGATCAAAATTTTGAAACATTACGAACACAAGGCTGGAATTTTGAACATCCTCTCTAGTGTTTAGTTGGTTAAGCTTTAATGGATTTTTCTGTTGTTGGTTTTCTTTTTGTTTATGTCATTTGCCAAAATCAGCCTTATCTTAGCATGTACTAGCCCCGCCCACCCACCCTTTATTTTTTTAAAAGACCAGGTCATCTGCCAAAATCAGTCTTATCTTGGCAAGTACTGATGACCAACTTTTAGAAAAAATGATCAAAATTTTGAAACATTACGAATACAAGGCTGGAATTTTGAACATCTTCTCTAGTGTTTAGTTGGTTAAGCTTTAATGGATTTTTCTGTTGTTAATTTTCTTTTTGTTTATGTCATTTGCCAAAATCAGTCTTATCTTAGCATGTACTAGCCCCGCCCACCCACCCTTTATTTTTTTAAAAGACCAGGTCATCTGCCAAAATCAGTCTTATCTTGGCAAGTACTGATGGCCAACTTTTAGAAAAAGTGATCAAAATTTTGAAACATTACGAACACAAGGCTGGAATTTTGAACATCTTCTCTAGTGTTTAGTTGATTAAGCTTTAATGGATTTTTCTGTTGTTGGTTTTCTTTTGTTTATGTCATTTGCCAAAATCAGCCTTATCTTAGCATGTAGTAGCCCCGCCCACCCACCCTTCATTTTCTTAAAAGACCAGGTCATCTGCCAAAATCAGTCTTATCTTGGCAAGTACTGATGACCAACTTTTAGAAAAAATGATTCTGTTTTTGGTTTTCTTTTTGTTTATAATTTATAAATGTCTTATTAAATGTTTTTTTGGTTTATTTATTAATGAAAAGTAACAGCTTGTGTTATTAAAACAATTTTAAAAGGTGTATTTCAGTCACCATTGTTACTAAAAAATCAAAAAATAAGCCGGAGGTATTCAGGCATTAGGTGCGTGCAGTGTTGCCAATTTTACTTTTATAAAATTACGTTTTTTTCGTAATCTACATCATAAGGAATTGTTTTTTTTTTGGGACTCCCGAAACCCCCGTACATAACGTACTGAAGAGTTAATCTGCCATTTTCCGGAGACCCCGTATAGAGTATCGATTAAAAAATTCTAAAACTTTGTAACTTGCAAATACTGGTATTTCAGTTTTTTTTTTTTTTTCAAATGAAACACCCTATACTTTATTACTATCTTACTCAGCAAAAAAAGCGAATAAAAATAGATTTAGATACAATAATAAAATATAGGTGTTCTAAAGTTTCAGATTCTTTTATGAACACTCTGTATAAGAAAATGTAATCTCATTTATACCACAGTACAGCGCGTACTACTTTTCTTTATCACTCCACAAAATGTTGTAAGACAGTTTTTAAAAATAATCCTACTGTGATTTTTTTTTAAGAACCCTTCCACTGTTAAAAAAATTGAAGAAAATTGGAATAACCTGGCAACGTCGCACCGTTATTTCAAAAATAATCTCTGGTTGTAAAGCCTAAGAAGAGGTTAATTAAAATATGTAAAGATAGATTTTAGCAGGTACTAGCCCAGCCCACCCGCCCTCTCTTTTCTTACAGGGTATCTCATTTGCGAAAATCACTCTTATCTTAGCAGGTAGCAGCCCCGCCCACCCCCCCTTTCTTGTCTTGGAAGGTTTGTCATGTGCCAAAATCAATCTTATCTTAGCAGGAACTAGCCCCGCGCTCTCTTTTCTTAGAGACTAGGTCATTTGCCAAAATCAGCCTTATCTTAGCAGGTACTAGCCCCGCCCACCCACCCTCTGTTTTCTCACAGGGTATCTCATTTGCAAAATCACTTTTATCTTAGCAGGTAGCAGCCCCGCCCACCCACCCTTTCTTGTCTTGGAAGGTATGTCATTTGCCAAAATCAGTCTTATCTTAGCACTGCGCCTGTAGTGACTCACCCTGTATATCAACAAAATTGACTACGGATTACTTAAATAAATTTTAATATTGACTTATATTATAAGTATCGGTTATTTGAAAATGTCTGTTTTCATTTTCCTAAATTTCTAGAAACAGAATACAGTAATGATCCCCACTTAAAAATTGATGACGTAATTTCGAAAATATTTAAAAAACTTTTATTGAAAAATCCTCCTTGACAAGCTTAAGGTGTTTGTTACAATTACGAACTTATTTGTAGTAATCTCTTCTCTAAATTGTCGTATGGAACTTAATAGCGAGTGGTTTACGTTTTTTTTTTATCCGGTTGGCAACATATTTAAAATCTTAGTACCATAGCATTTTCAGAAACTTTAAGAATAGATTTCACCATTGACCCAATTTTCTTAGGCTTTTTCAGTGTTTTATAGGTAGGCAACCAATAATTCAGATTGCATGCTAGACTGCTACCTGGATCACAAAAGCGGCAAATTCTTGAAAAATGTACTGACCGATTTACCAAAACCAACTTGACGCACGATATTTTATAATCACCCGGTATAAACTCTGTGTACTTTGAGGAAAAGACGTTCAGTTTTTCATATACAGGGTGAGTCACTAAGCGCGCGCTGCTCAATATGTCATTGATCATTGTTTGAGGACCTTACACTAAAATTATTTTCAACTATACAGAGTGTTCTCGATTTTTTAGGCGCAACACACAACTTGTTTTTTTCAAATGGAATACTATATACCGGTTTTGAAAAAGAAGGCTTTGAAAAACTCGAAAAAAATGATTAAAAAATCCCTGCACCAAACTTTTGAAAATTTTGAACGTCAAAATTTCAGATCAATTCAAGTTCAATTAAATTCACTTTAAAATCTGTCAGAATATTCTGAAATTTTGGTTCAGAGATTTTTTTAACCATTTTTTTCGAGATTCACAGAGCCTTCTTGACAACGTACCATCAAATACGTCATTTTTCATCACTTTGTATATTTTTAAAATTCCGATGGGACGGTGCCTTGTTGCTCAAATTTTTTTGAATTTTTTTAACAACGGAAACGTTAAAAAAATCGTAATAGGGTTATTTTTAAAATCTATGTTACAATATTTTGTGAAGACAAAAATAAAAGTACACGCTTTGTTGTGGTCTAAATAAAACTGAGTTTTAATATACAGAGAGTTTATAATTTTTTTAAAATCAATAGCACCTTCTATATTTTATTACTGTGTCTTATTATATTTTTTGTTCTTTTTTTTCTGTTAAGAACCAAGTGACTCTTAATGTTTGTGATTTTTTTGTCAGGTTGGCAACAATTTAAAAATTTTATGTTGGCATACCTGAGGTAAAATTGAAAT